ATGGAATTAAAGGTAACTTTATTTTGGTGCAACACATTTGTGAAATCCATGCATAGTTTTTGACAGTGTGGATTTTCCATGAACTTTTTGAACACTTCATACTTAAGAGAATTTTGGTGTCACTAAATGCATACATTAAAAATGAAAAAATGGGCCTGCGCCATGGCTCACTAGGCTAATCCTCCACCTTGTGGCGCCGGCACACTGGGTTCTAGTTCCAGTCAGGGCACCAGATTCTGTCCCGGTTGCCCCTTCTCCAGGCCAGCTCTCTGCTGTGGCCCGGGAGTGCAGTGGAGGATGGCCCAAGTGCTTGGGCCCTGCACCCCATGGGAGACCAGGATAAGTACCTGGCTCCTGCCATCGGATCAGCGCGGTGCGCCGGCCGCAGCGCACCGGCCGCGGCAGCCATTGGAGGGTGAACCAACGGTAAAGGAAGACCTTTCTCTCTGTCTCTCTCTCTCTCACTGTCCACTCTACCTGTCAAAAAAAAAAAAAAAAGAAAAAGAAAAAGAAAAAGAAAAAGAAAAAAGAAAAAAAGAAAAGAAAAAATGTGGCAGCACCATGGCTCGCTAGGCTAATCCTCCGCCTGCGGCACCAGCACCGCAGGGTTCTAATCCTGGTTGGGGCACTGGATTCTGTCCCAGTTGCTCCTCTTCAAGTCCAGCTCTCTGCTGTGGCCCAGGAGGGCAGTGGAGGATGGCCCAAGTGCTTGGGCCCTGCACCTGCATGGGAGACCTGGAGGAAGCACCTGGCTTCGGATCAGCACAGCGCTGGCCGTCGTGGCCATTTGGGGAGTAAACCAACGGAAGGAAGACCTTTCTCTCTGTCTCTTTCTCTCACTGTCTAACTCTGCCTGTCAAATAAAAAAGAAAAAGAAAAAATGGATATTAAGAGCTTAAGTGAAAAAATGTTTAAGTGATACATTCAACAAGTGAGAAGGATGAATAATAAAGTTATCAAAAGCAAAACCTAGTACTTTGTAGAAAACAATAAAGCTGGAAAATCTCTACAGTGAAAAAGCAAAACCATCTCCATGTGTAGAAAAATAACATAGCTACAGAGACTGCGAGAAGTCAGAAGCGAATACCATAAACGCACCTGTGCCCACAGATCTGCAACGTGAGGAAAGTGCACGACTTTCTAGAAGGAAAAATGATAATAGTGACACTGAGGGAATGAGGCTCAGGAAGTGACAGCGTCCAAAAGGAAATTAGTGTCCACACCAACAGCGACACCAAAACAGCAGCCCTGGGGCTTTGTGAGGAGCTCAGCTTCCCCTGACAGGACTGTCACAGAAATAGGAAAAGCGTTCGATCTCCCCGGCTGACCTGGAGCAGCTAAAATGATCTGGATTCAAAACTGAGTAAGGGGTCGGCGCTGTGGTGCAGCGGGTTAACGCCCTGGCCTGCAGTGCCGGCATCCCATATGGGCAATGGTTCGAGACCCGGCTGATCCACTTCCGATCCAGCTCTCTGCTGTGGCCTGGGAAAGCAGTGGAAGATGGTCCAAGTGCTTGGGCCCCTGCACCCATGTGGGAGACTTGGAAGAAGCTCCTGGCTCCTGGCTTCGGATCAACCCAGCTCCAGTCATTTGAGGACATTAGGGGAGTGAACCAGCAGATGAGAGATCTCCCTCTCTCTCTCCCTCTGCCTCTCCCTCTGCCTCTGCCTCTGTAACTTTGTGGCTGTTGCAAGCATCGGGGGGGAGGGAACCAGTGGATAAAAGATCTCTGTGCGTCTGTCTTTCAGATAAACAAAATGGAAAGACACAACGATATGCCGCCATAACAGCCACTGTTCAGCCTGATGCTAGTTCAAGCCAGGGCCCTGGACTACAACAGAACACACCAGGGTGGAAGACTGGAAAAGAACAGAAACGCCTAGAAAAGTAGACAAGCTCTCAGCAAGGGCGGGAGGTCGAAGGTAAACACAGAAAAATTCATCGTGTTCCTGACACCAGCAGCAAAGCCTTTTAAAAGTAGAAGAAGGCGGCAGCACCGCCCGGAGAAGTCCATTCCGGAGCCTTCCCTGGACGCGCTGGCTCGCGAGGGCGCAGCGGCTGATCCCACCAGGGCTTGGGGGGGCGGTGACAGCTGAGGGGACAGCCGGCTTCCTCTCCTCTGGGCTATCCTGGAAGATGTGCAGGTGGACTAACATCAGCCACTGGGTGCTGAGTGAGAGCGAGTCACCAAGGATGCCTCAGAGGGCTCCCCCGTCCTGCGTCCGAGCCAGCCACCCCAAGAGGAGGAAGCAGCTTCGTATTAGGATGCGGTTATCAGCCAAGAGGGGAGAGCAGGGGCCCTTTGGAGACAAAGGAATTCAGAGATGTCGCTCCCCGTCTTCGTGGAGGAACGACACAGGACCCTGCGCTGTTCTTTTGTCTGCTCGCCCTCCCCGGGTTTGCTGCTGGTTCTTCCCGGGTTGGCTACCGTCCCTTCCACCTCCGTGGAAGGGCGGTTCCCCCTGGCCACTTTCCCCACTTCCGCGGGGGAGCGGCACACCGCCGGCCGGCTCTCTCGGGGGCTGCACAGGTGTTCCTTCAGATAGATGTTCCTGGTACATGTTGTCTCTCTCCTCCTTTATAGTCCTCTTCCACCAATCCCAACTCTGCTACCCACACGCCGAGTACGCTGCTCTCCTCCAATCAGGAGCAGCTCCTGCAGCTTGTCAAGTTGGTGAGAGGCAGCTGGGTAGAAGCTGTTGCCTCCTCTCCCAGCGCCATATTGTGGGAGAGCAGATGCATAGAATAAGTCTTAATTCCAGTAACTTAGTCTAGTCCGAGTTGCTCCCCACAAGAGAGATCTGTAGCAGTCTAGGGCAACATAGTATCCACTTCATGCTGTGGGTTGTAACACAGCCTGGCTTTCAGCTTCTGTACTCTTGTCTTCCTTTGCAACATTCCTTAACTGGAAACAAAGTTGAGGGAAGACTGATGTCATTCCAGATACTGGCAAAGAGCTTGCACAGGAGGGCAGGGCTGTTAATTCCCAGCAATCACCCCGGGTACGAGGCTGTGCGGTTCCAGACACCAGCCGGGCTGGGATCGGGCCCCACCGTGCCCTGAAGCGCGTCTGTGCCGGCTCAGAGCTCGGACCGCCCTGAACCTGTGTGCACCTGTTCACGTCTTCTGACGGCAGGTGTGGCCAGAGTGCCCTTGGCTCCGTGCGAGGTGACGCTTTGGGGGTGATGCTAATGGGGCATTTGGACCCAGAGTGTGCCCGGGGTATGACTGGAGCCCTGGAGGCAGCTGGCTATTGTCCAGCCCTTCCTGGTGATATCAAAACAGCAGACAAACCCCAGAACAGTCACCGTTTCTGTCTCCCTCCTCCCCCTCCCTTCTTCCAGATCCTACAGAAGGATTTTTGGAGAAACAAAAGAGGGAGCTAAATTCTGGAGGGAAGAGCACACCGCCCCTAACCGCATGGACACCCCTCTCTGCTCAGCCCCTGCCCTGTTTCCTGCCTTCTCAAACCCCACCCTGCCACACAGCCCCCTCCTCTCACTCCCAGCTCCAAGAAAGCCCCTCCAAAGTGTGGCGGCTCCATTCTCCCCGGTTGTCCTCCCCTAACCTGCACCCCAGCTTCCTCCTGAGCCCCCAGGCCTGCCCAGGCCCTTCCACACCCTCCACCAGCGCTGGGCCCCAAGCCCCGGGAGGAACAGGGGTGTCGTGGACCCCACCCTGGCATCCTAGGAAAGCCCCTCCCCCAGAAGCCTGATGGGGAACGACTGCCGGTGTTACCAGAGGCTCGTCCCCGTCCTGGGGCCGAATCCAGTGACAGGACAAGGACTGCGGGAAGGCCAGTCTGATCGTGAGCACCACTGCACACAGCAAGCATATGGACATTAGCGGCAAAGAAGCTGTGCCCAGGGTCAGAGCACCTTCGGGTGCCGAGGTTAGCCCAGTGTCGGAGCACCTGCGGGTGCTGAGGTTAGCCCAGGGTCAGAGCACCTGCGTGCCGAGGTTAGCCCAGTGTCAGAGCACCTGTGGGTGCTGAGGTTAGCCCAGGGTTAGAGCACCTGCAGGTGCCGAGGTTAGCCCTGCCCCTGGTTGGGCTGCTCTGCTCTGCCTGTGAGAGCAGTCCAGATAAGAGTGAAAGCATTCCCACAGAACAAGCAAAAGGGGAAGCCAACCACGTAACCTCGACAGCGTGCTCTGTCCCAGCGGCCCGAGAGCATCACTTGTCTGGACGCAGTGTGTAGAGCGTGCACCATGGGAATCTGCCGCCCTGCAGCTGATGACGGTGAGAACTGAGACCAGACCCCTGTCGCGCAGACAGGCCCCCGCCTCTCGCCGTCGCCCTCGGCCCACGGTGTCCTCACCGGTCCTTTACCGGAAGGAGCTCACTGACTGGAGGGAGCGGCCTCGCTGGCCCTGCAGGGTTCTGATCCCCGCACTCAAGGCGCCATAGCTCCCCAAGGCATAACCCTTGCTGGCCGGTCCTGTCCAGAGGGGTTTGTGGGCATTCCAGGCGGGGGCAGAAGGTGACTGCCGCTCACATGCAACCCCCAGACCAACCAGAGCCACCCGGCCACCACACGTTCCCTAAGCGCACAGCATCGCCGACCAGGCAAAGGAAGGCCACGCGCGCCGCGGACCAGCCAGGAACTGTGCACGAGCTGACCACGCGCCCCTCAGCCCCGACCTGTCTCTGAGAATAAGAACCTTCTCCCCTACCCCTCGGGAGCCTGGAAAGTAAGCTGCCTGGCTCCTTGCTCTGCGCTGTGCCGTGCACACCTCCCGGCTGTACCACCCCGTATCAGCGGCTGGCTTTCTGCGCAGCGAGCCAGCAGACCCAGGTTTGGGGGTTCTGTAGCAGCTCCTCCAGCTAGTTTGGGAGTGTTGCTCTACACAGATGTGACCCCTGTAATGTTCATGTTACCCTGCACCCAGCTACACCAGCAATCCTCACCACAGGAGACACACCCAGTGACATTGTGAGTGTGTGTGTGTGTGTGTGTGTGTGTGTGTCTGTGTGTGTGGTTAGAAACCTGTGGGCGGGGCCAGCACTTGGCTTTCTGGGTAGTGGGGAGAAGATGCTATTTTTTCCCCCAGAAACTTTTTAATTTAAGGAATACAAACTTCATGCATTTCTTTTTCTTTTAAAAAATTATTTTTATTTACTTGAAAGACAGAGTTACAGAGAGAGGTAGAGCCAGAGAGAGAGAGAGAGAGAAAGAGGTCTTCTATCCGCTGGTTCATTCCCCAAATGACCGCCACAGCCAGGAACTGATCCGAAGCCAGGAGGCAGGAGCTTCCTCCAGGTCTCCCTCATGGGTGCAGGGGCCCAAGGACTTGGGCCATCTTCTACTGCTTTCCCAGGCCATGGCAGAGGGCTGGATTGGAAGAGGAGGAGTTAGGACTTGAACCGGTGCCCATATGGGATGCGGCACTGCAGGCTGGGGCTTTAACGGGCTCCGGCACAGCACCGGCCCACATGCATTTCATCTTCAGGAATGTGGTGGTTCTTCCTGCCACTCTGGCCCTCCCACCTACTCTGCCACTCCTTCCCTCCTCCCTATTCTCATTTTTATTTTTTTAAAGATTTTATTTATTTTATTTGAAAGGTAGAGTTACAGTGAGAGGGAGAGACAAAGAGAAAAGTCTTCCTTCTGTTGGTTCACTCTCCACATGGCCACAACGGCCGGAGCTGTGCTGATCCGAAGCCAGGAGCCAGGAGCTTCTTCCCAGTCTCCCACGTGGGTGCAGGGGCCCATGCACGTGGAACATCCTTTACTGCTTTTCCAGGCCACAGCAGAGAGCTGGACCAGAAGTGGAGCAGCTGGGACTAGAACCAGTTCCCATATGGGATGCCGGCGCCGCAGGCAGAGGATTAGCCTACTATGCCACAGCGCCGGTCCCTCCCATTTTTATTTTTTACTAAGATCTATTTTCAGTTAACTTTATACCGTATGATTAACTCTATACTAAATGAAATTGTATGATAAAAACAAAGTCCCTCCACAGCCGAGACAAGGGCTGCTCCCGCCATTGAGCTCGAGGCGTCAGTTTCACTCCTGCAGACGATCTTTCAGGTGCTCTGCTGGTTTTCACAGACAGGGAGAAGATGCTATTTCGGGACTTACACGCCACAGCAGGTGTCACAGGACCCTGTTACCAGGTGTGCCTCTTTCAGTTTCAAGCCCACTCCCCACACTGCACACACACACCAGGTTTCAGAAATAAGATGGCGCCAACAGGAAACGTTTCCTTTGCAATAAATGACAGGAAGCAGCGTGACTGACCGAATGAGCGTCATCCCTTCTGCTGGGGGCGTTCTTGAAAACATGGCCACGCGTGACTTCCTGGCAGCCTGCAGGCGGGCAGGATGCTGTCCACCTACGGTGAGGCTCCGCCGCGTCAGGTTGATCAGGCGAGGTCTCTGGGGAAGGAAGGCGTGGAGTTCAGGTGTGCCTGCCTTCGGGTCTGGTGCCTCCTGACCTCTGTGCCTCGCCGCCACCGCAGAGCTAGGTCTGGGGATGCCTCCTTGGTGCAGGGTCACCGTTACCGTTTTCCCTAAAATAGATCTTACTTCTGGTGGCTGGCGCTGTGGCACAGCTGGTTAAGCCACTGCCTATGTTCATCCCAGATGAACATTGGGTCTTGTCCCGGCTGCTCCACTTCCAATCCAGTTCTCTGCTATGGCCTGGGAAAGCAGCAGAAGATGGCCCAAGTGCTTGGGCCCCTGCACTTGCGTGGAAGACCCGGAAGAAGCTCCTGGCTCCTGGCTTTGGCATTTGGGGAGTGAAACAGTTGACGAAAGGTCTCTCTCTCTCTCTCTCTCCCTTTCAAACTTTTTTTTAAATGCATCTCCTTCTAGTCTGGTCAGTGAACTATTTATCCATTTTCTACCATTGTCACTATCCTTTGTCCATCTATTTTCAGTCAGAAAACTTGACCTTGAGAAAGTCCTACACTGGTAGTCAGTCCACTTTGGGCGGAGTTGGGACGCTGTCCCCCGCCCAGACGCCACCCGTCATCCTCTCCAGCTGTCTCTAGAGCACACAGCTGTGCACTGGGAGCAAAGTCCTGCCGGAGGATGCACTAGGCAAGAAGACAAAGGACACACTGCCCGCTCACTCCTCCAAACATTCTTCAGTGGGCGTTCTGTCCTCGGATGGAGTCCAACCACCAGAGGGTGGCGGTGTGTTTTGCCCGATCTCGGTCCACACAGCAAGCCGGGAGGGGTCCATGCAGGCAGTGAGTCTGTGGTCTCCACATCCAGCTCCCCCACAACTGTGCATCGTGCGGCAAGCACACACCGGGCCCCTGTCCTGCCTCTGCCATTGGCAACTGTCTGTCCTAAGCCATCTCTGCCCTCTTAGGAGCCTTTGTCCCCAGCAGCCTCAAGGGATGGCTGGCTTTCTCCTCCACCCTGGGACAGTGGAGACCCAGTTGGGGGGCCAAGCGCAGAATCAGGGACCCAGAGCACCCCTGTCTGGGTGTCTTCTCAGCGCGCCCCTCCCCCGGGCACCGAGTCCCTCATTCAGCTGGGCAGGGGTGGGGGTGAGGAGGCAGGGACCCCACCTGCCCTGTCCAAGAGGGGAGGGGCATCCTTGGGACCCCTCTCCCTCCCTCCCTCTGGATCACTTTTGAGGGTGCTTGGAAAACCTCTTGGGAAATGGAGTGAAAGGCGAGGGTTAGCTGGGGGCAGTGCCGTCCGTGCCTGCACAGGGTCCTTGGCAATCTGCTGGAAAAGGTGCATCACGAAAACCCACGAGTGGGCACCCAGATAAACGCTTTGCACCCAGATAAACGCAGCTTCTAACTCTTTCTCCCCAGCTTACTTTCTCTTTCACTTCGCAGTCGCAATCCCATGGCTCCCGAGGGGCTGTCTCTGCGGGGAAGTCCAGCTCAGCTCTGCCCGGGGATGGGGGGGAGGGTCTGAAATGTGGGCTGAGCCACCCGGGGGCCCTCCCATCCCCAGCCCCTGCAGCCCGCCAAGGAAGCAGGAAGAAGGTGGGGCCTGCACTCAGATGGTGCCGTGAGGTCACTCACCGATACGGTGGCTTCCTGAGAGGAGGAAATGGAGTCCAGGCGCCCAGGACCGAGGGCAGGTCCGGGACAAGCCTGCCCGGGACACTACGGCCGGAATCCCCAGCACAGGTAGCCCCGCCTGCTCCGGCCCACGCCCCCCCAGCCCCCCCTGCACCATCTTTGGTGGTGGTCCCTGTGGTGCCTCTACCCTGGGCCACCTCCTCCTCCTCTTCCTCCCAGCCCAGCCCTGGGTCCTCTCCCTCTCTGGGCATCTCTGCAGCACCCAACATCCCCTGAGGGCCTCTGTGGCCCCTCCGAGACTCCTAACGGGCCCCCACCCCACCCCTGTCTCCACCCAGCTGGCAGGGGGTACCCCCCCATCCTGGAGGTGGGCTGCACCTCCCTGCCATGCAGAGGTGCCGGGAGGTGGAGGAGAGGATGAGGCTGGGGTTCTGTTGGTGCACTTTGTTGGGGTAACTGTTGTCACCCTGTCGTCACAGGCACACCACGGCGGAAGACAAGCAGGGGTGGGGGCATAGCTCCCGGGACAGGGCACTCCTTCGCATCTGCCACCACCCCTGTAGAGAGGCCCTAAACATGGCCACCACCTCAGTGGTCACCCTTCATCTTCCAGAACTGTCTCATTGCCGTGCAGGTTAAGTGGGGGACCTGACATCATCAGGGCAAATGCTCTTTTTTTTTTTTTTAAGATTTATTTATTTATTTGAAAAGCAGAGTTACAGAGAGGCAGAGGCAGAGAGAAAGAGAGAGAGGTCTTCCATCCACTGGTCCACTCCCCAAATGGCTGCAAGGGCCAGAGCTGGACTGATCCGAAGCCAGGAGCCAGGAGCTTCTTCCAGGTCTCCCACGTGGGTGCAGGGGCCCAAGGACTTGGACCATCTTCCACTGCTTTCCCAGGCCATAGCAGAGAGCTGGATCGGAAGTGGAGCAGCCGGGTCTCGAACTGGCGCCCGTATGGGATGCTGGCACTTCAGATGGCAACTTTACCGGTTACGCCACAGCGCCAGCCCCTTGATGCTCTTTTGTTAAAGCGAGGTAAAAAAGAAAACCTTATCCCCAACCACCCACTCCTGCAAGGTGACGCAATGAGCTATGGACATGGCCTGGCCGGGGTGGTGCTGGTGACGGAGCAAGGGCAGGAAGCCTTAGACCCACGCTGACCACTCACCTACACACGACAAGCAGGTCCCCAGTTCCCTGGAGCCCTGCTAATGCAGCCCTGGGCGGCTGGACACACCCCTATCTGAAGGGTCCCGCCACCAGCCTGAGCTCTCCCCGCTCCTCCCAAGCCTTCTCCCTCCTATCTCACAGGGTCCAGGCTCAGCCTCAGCCTCGGCCCAAACCCGGCTCATACTGTCATCTCGCGGGAGCTGCAGAGCCAGCCCAAGCCCGCGCTCTATCTCCACAGCCCAGCTTTAGCTCAGACCCCCAGCCCCTTCTTGCTAGTCTGTAAGGGAGGGGCTCTCGCTCTCTCTCTCTCTCTCTCTCTCTCTCTCTCTGCCATGCGTTCCCCTGGGAGGAGGCCCTGCCAGGCTTCATCCTTCTGGTCTGGCTGTGGCTTCAAATGAGAAGACCCCGAGTGTGTCCGCGCCAGCTCTGGAATGTGGCCGGGCCCCCCACTCTGTGCCTCTGCTTCTCCATCCACAAAATGGGCCTGCCCTGGCAGGATGGGGGCAGGAGTCCCTGAGTTCAGATACAAGAGATCTTCAGACAGTCCTGGAAAATACATAGCGTGCGAAGACCCTGCGTGGATTTCACAGCTGTCTCATCGCGAGATAATCAACTCTTTTCATTCCATTTTTCCATGGACCCTTGGAAATGCCCTCCCGCCAGGGGCTTGTGGTGTGAATGTACCCCTTCCCCTGATGTGAAAAGCAAGAGTGCAGAGACGCGACGTCAGTTCCAAGTGGGACTGAAATGCTGAGAGCTCTGATTCGGGGCTGGAGGGGCTTTTCCCCCCTTTTGGTGCATTTTTCTCCTTTCCGATTGGGATGGAGGGATGAGCGCACAGGAACATTGGGCTGCTGGGGGGGTGTCCCGTGGGAAGGGCCGGAGCTGGGGCTGCCCCTCCTCTTCTTTGCTCCCCAGTCTTCAGTCCGGGCTGTGGAAGCCCCATCTGCAGTCCTCTCTCTCTCTCTCTCTCTCTCTCTCTCTCTCTCTGCAGTGTCCCTGGAAAATGGATCAGGCGGCTGTATCAAAAGACATTCTACTTTCACTTCCTAAACGTGCCCCGCGCCTTTGGCCGGCGCAACACCTTCCTCTGCTACCAGGTGGAAGGCAGCGGGAGCTCCTCGCCGGACAAGGGGATCTTTATGAAGCAGGTATCGGCCAGACTCTACCCACGTCCCAGGCAGGAGCTAAGCCAGCCAGCAGTGCAGGACAGACCAGCCGTAGGATGCCGCCGCAGGCTCTTCCCACAACTGTCCCTGCTGCACTGTGCCGGGCCCGATGACACGTTCAAGTGTCTGACTTGCGTCGAGACCAGCACTGTCCTGGAACACCTCAGCGGTCATTTCACTCTTGTGGCTGCCCCCCCCCCCCCCCCCGCCTCTCAGTCTTGCAGGAAAGAGCGTCTGCAGAAAGCTGGCCCTGCTGCCCCCACCACAGTCCGGAGTGAGGACCCACAGGACGTACCCACCCACACCTCCGTGCCCCTCACTCCCTTGGGTGACCCCTGCAGCAGCTGGACACAGCCTCCGAGGTTTTGAGAGCAGTGCCACCTCCAGCAGCGCCGTGCACCTGCCCCTCCCAGACCTCAGACTTCTCAGAATGTCTCCGGGGGTGGAAGGGACTTGTGGGGTGGGCAGTAACACCTGCCAGCCTCGTAACAGACAGGAGTCCCGCACCACAGGCCCTCAAAGTGCTTGTGGAAAAAAATGGAATGAAAAGATGGTTTATTTTTTAATCAATATTTTTAAATCCATGTATCACTTTTTCATATTACATATTTTTTCACAAACTTTTTGGAGATCCTGCATACATAATTGACATTTTTCTAGTACCCATAGTTTAAAAAGTCAGGAGACGCTGGTGAAATTGCTTCCAATACTTTGTTAGCCCAATTTTTTTTTTTGACAGGCAGAGTGGACAGTGAGAGAGACAGAGAGAAAGGGCTTTCTTTACCGTTGGTTCACCCTCCAATGGCCACCGCGGCCAGTGCGCTGCGGCCGGTGCACTGCACTGATCCGAAGGCAGGAGCCAGGTGCTTCTCCTGGTCTCCCATGGGGTGCAGGGCCCAAGCACTTGGGCCATCCTCCACTGCACTCCCTGGCCACAGCAGAGAGCTGGCCTGGAAGAGGGGCAACCGGCGCCCCGACCAGGACTAGAACCAGGAGTGCCGGCACTGCAGGCGGAGGGTTAGCCTAGTGAGCCGCGGCGCCGGCCAGCCCAATGTTATCTAACAGTATTGTGACATAGAATCCCTAGAAGATTCTTCGTGAGATCACTGGCAAATTTTTTTTTTCCTCAGACAGCTCTTTGAAACGAGCTGTGTGTTTCACATGACCTGCATGTCTCGGTTCCAATGAGCCACGTTTCAAGGGCTCAATAGCGGCCTGTGGCCACGGCTCACCTCTGGGACACACAGCACTGTGCCTGCGCCACAGCCAGCAGGCAGGGGACAAGTTGGCCAGAGCAGGGGCTGGGGTTCCTTGTTGAACGGGTGCCAGGCTGAGAATGCGGGGAGGGGACCCTGCAGGGCAGAGACGGCCGGAGTGAGGGGAGGACCCCCGGGGCTCCTGTCTGGGGACCCCCTGCCCACCCTACTTTGCCCGTGCCTCCGACCCACGGCTTCCTCCCCACCGTTCAGATGTGGCCCAGGACTCCCGAGTACCACGCGGAACAGTCCTTCCTCTCCTGGTTTGAGAACCGCCTGCCGCTCCCTGCCCAGCGGCCGTGCCAGGTCACCTGGTACCTGTCCTGGAGCCCCTGCAGCAGCTGTGCCGAGCTGGTGGCTGCCTTCCTGGACACGCACAGAAACGTGAACCTGACCATCTACACTGCCCGCCTCTACTACCACCTACACCCGGAGTACAGGGCTGGGCTTTGCCAGCTGGTCAGCGCGGGGGCCCAGGTGGAAGCCATGTCCTTCTCAGGTGAGCGCCAGGGTGGAGTGGGGGGGCGCCGTGGTGGGGGCTTCTGCAGGGCCCCTGGGGGGACTGGGGAGTCTGTGCTGGCCCTGGGCCCTCACTGCTGTCTCCCCTTTTATCTCAGAATTTGAAAAGTGCTGGGAAGAGTTTGTGTACAATGAAGGAAACCCATTTAGGCCTTGGCGGATGCTGCATCGAAACTACCGCATCCAGGTGAAGAATCTGCAGGACATCCTCAGGTGAGTGGCCCCTCCTCAGGCCGCCACCCCCTTTCCAACCAGACCCCCGCTGCCCCAGCCTCCTGCCCTCACTGCTCCCGTGAGAGCCGCTTCCTTGCTGGCCTGCACCCCGAGGCCGCCCCCCTGCAGTCCCTGCCCCCCGCGGGCTCCCTCCGGCACGGCCTGAGAACCGCCCCCCAATGGGTGTGCGCAAGGAAACCAGAAGATTCCGGAAGCATCCCCTAAGGCTGACTCGAGTTCCCAGAGACAGAAATAAATCGGGGCCGCCACAGGCGGATTGGATTTCCTTCTGTTCTGAGGCCTCTGTTCCGACCTGAGTGTGGCCACGTGGCCCCGGCTGTGCCCCCGTGCATCCGCGTTAGGACCCAACCCAAGGGCCTCTATTGAACTTGGCCAACCCTTTAAAGGGTCTGTCTCCAGAGGTGTTCACACTCTGGGGTGCTAGGGTTAGACCTCCCACCTCTGAACTTAGTGGGGGCAAAATTCAACCCAGGACGGTGACCGAGGGGTGGGAGGCATCTGGGCCCTGGCTCTGAGGGTCCTGACCAGACGCTGATCCCCGCTTCCACCCAGACCCCTTTGCTTCTCCCCACATCGTCACCATGCCCCGCCCACCCTGCTCAGCCCTGCCTGTCCCATTTCCCAGCTCCCCCCAGGGATGCAGCTGGGGTGGCCACAGCCGCAGGAATGCAATGTGAGACTGGGCGAGAAAAGGGGGCTCAGGTGACAGGCTGGAGGCCACCAGAGCGCTTCCTCTGCCACACTGCCTTTCTAAAAAAATTTTAAGATTTATTTATTGAAAGGTGGGCATGGGGGAGGGGAAGGGGGAGAGAGAGAGAGAGGGAAAAAGAGGGATCTCCCATTCCCTAGTTCACTCCCCAAGCGCCTGCACAGTCGGGTCTGCGCCAGGCCAAAGCCAGGAGCCCGGATCCTAACCCAGATCACCTCTGCTTCACACGATGCATTAGCAGGACACTGGACGGGAAACAGAGCAGTCGGGACCGGACCCAGGCGCTGCAGTGTGGGATGCAGGCGTCCGCCAGCGGTGGGTTAACCCACTGCCCCACACACGAGCGCCCTCGCTCTGCCTGGACTAGAATTAACTCACTGGACTGAGGGGCTGCAGCCAGCCCCCCGGTCCCGAGTCCCACACCCCAGAGGTCACCTAGCTCCCCTGTTGGCCAGCGTCTCCGCTATTGCGAGAGCTGCTGTCGGCCTTGAGGGTTGGTCTGGTCGGCCCACAACGTGGGGGTCCCAGCACATGGGAACCAAGGCGGGGAACATGCAAGACCCAGGATGGGGGGCCAGGGCTGGTTGTGCCGTGTGTGCCATGAGCAGTGTCTCTGTGTGAGGTCTTGCCTGGTTGCCCAACCACGGGGCTACTGGCAATGAATCCGAAGCCACAGTCCAGAGATGGCGTCCACTGTCTTCAAACCCACTGGAAGTCTCGCCCGTTGGCGCCGGGGTGTCAGGAGTGGATTTCCAATTTGTGAACCTGGTGGCGCTAGCGTAACAGGTGTTGGAGGCAGTTCCTGAGTGGGCTGGAAATGTGGGGGCGGCGACATTTCTGGACTCCCGCCGAGGAGCAGTGCCCTCGGCTTTAGCCCC